GGAGACGCCCCGGCGTTCGCCCGGAGCCCCTCCCCTGGGGGTCCCCGTTTCTCCCTCTCCCCTCCAGCCCTGGGGGCGGAGGGAGCGCTGATCTAGGCTCCGCCCCCGCCCCTGCTTGGGAGCGAGAAAGGGACGCCCTCACTTCCCGGACCCCTCACTAGGGAGCACCCGCCGGGGCAGAAGGCCTGAGGTCCCCATTTCCTCAGCATCTCGACTCAGGTAGTCTGAATGGGGTGGCAGGGGTCAGTGCCCAGAGACCTCTTTCTTAAGCCAGGGCAACTCCTGGACACTCCACCGCCTTCCTCCCCCACCCCTACCTGGTCGCGGAATCGCACGTCGCCCGGATGGCGGGATCCGGATCCTGGCGGTTCGATAGTGCTTTCCCTGCACCCCACCCCCACCCCCACTCAACTCCGGAACTAACTGATCTTGGTGCTTTTCTGGGAGGGGGCAGAGCCCACTCGTCCCGTCCAAGGGGTCCTCCGGGGCCAAACACGCCCCCTACCCCGCCTCTGCCTTAGAGAGCCCACCCCATCTCCTGGTTGCCACTCCGCATCTCATTCCCCCGCCCCTCTCAGAATGAATCCCACCTCCCAACATTGATCTAAACTGCTCCTCCCATCCCCACCCCTAATCAAGGAACAGACCCTTCCGCCCCAGCCTCTGCCTGTGAGGGCTGGGGAGGAGAATCTATCTCCCGCCCGGGAGGCTCTGAAGTGCATAGGTCCCCTGCCTGCTGACTGGACACCCCCTCTCCAGAGTCACCGAACCCGTCACAGCTCCTCTTGCCAGGATGGGGGCTGCAGCCCCCTTCTCCCAGTGTCAGCAACAATCCTTACATCCTGGGCTTGAATTTTGTCCTTTATCTCTAAGAGATGATCCTTATTGTCCCCACTTCGCGGATGAGGAAACTGAGATTCAGAGGAATTAAATGATTTTTCCAATGTCTCACAGCTAGTGAGTGGAAGGCTTGGACTTGAATCCGTGTGCCGTCATCCATTCATTGCACACCTATTTATCAAGCACTAGTTTTGTGCCCAGCACTGCTCTGGCAGTTACCGGAGTGGACCGTGAACAATGAACATAATATACAGGTCAATTCTAGAGTGTATTAGATAAGTGTTTTGGGGGGAAATTGAGGTCGGTTTGCAGAGATCGGGATGGTGGCAATGCTCAGGACCATGCCAAGGACTTTATTCCAGGAGCTCTTGGGGCTTGGAGCAGAGTGAGAGGGTCTGACTTTCAAGTCAAGCTCACTCAGGCCTCTGTCAAGAACAGACTTGGACGAGCAGGGGACCAAGTCAGGGTTAGAGATGACCAGGTAGCAGAGATGGGTCTGGTTTCCGGAGCTACTTTGGAGGTGAGCAGACAGCATTTGTCTTCTGACTGGACAGCTCCTCTCAGTTCCATGGCAGCAGCTGGGACCCTCCTGGCTTCCCAGGTTTCCCAGACCAAGCTAGGGAACTAGGCTGCGGGGGACTGGGAGGGCAGCTGGGCCCTCCAGAACACCAGTTCCTCTATGTGCCTTGGCTCTGGCATTGGGACCCCCCAGTGGAGGCGTGAGAGACGCCAGACATGCGTGGGTGGTTCCCAGCTGCCTCCTGCTGAGGACCTGGGGGTGGGGAGAGACTTGCTGCTCAGCCCCCACCCCAGGCCTCTTGAATGACAAGCTCTCTCCCCTCTCCCGCTGGAGGGCCTGCTGTGCTTGGGGAGGGATAGGGGCCTGCCTTGCAGTCACTACCTCAGGCCCTCCTTCCCTTCCTCCTCCCCCTCCTACTCCTTCCTCTCCCACCTGCCTGAAACCAAATCTCAGTTTACCTTCACAGGGGCCTCTCAGCCACTTTCTCTGCTTCTTCTCACTTCTCCTGCCCACTGTCACCTTCTCCAGGCTGACTCCTTGGCTCAGTCTCTCAGGAGCCTACTTCTCCTAGCCCCACTGTTTTTCTTCTCTGTGAGGGTATCTCTGATGCCCTGCCCACAAGACCCCCAGTCTGCATCCTGTCTCCCCAGTAGATGGGGCTTCTGAATGCAGGACCATGTCTTCTTCTCACCTCGGGTACCCCGCCTCCCTTGGACTTTCCCTGTACCTTGAACAAGTAGGATGGATCTGGAGGTAGAGTTTGAGCCCATCAGCCACCTTTCCTCTGCCAGGGGCTCCAGCAGCACCGGGAGGTCCCTCTGAGCACATAGGGAAGGCTTGGGGTTCCCCACATGACACACCAAGGCCCTTGGCCCAAGACCTCGTGCCCTGAGATATGGTCCATAAAGGGGGGCAGAGGGGCAGGAGGCTTGGGGCCCTCAGTTTTAGGTGACTTGAAACAAATCTCTTCCCCTTTCTGAGCAGAAAGTTTAAACAGGTGACCTGGGTACCCTGACATCTCCCAAGATCAGAGTACTGACACGACAGGCCTCATTTACTGCCTCACTGGCCCCCTCAGCCCTGAAATTCTGGACATGAGGCTCCAG